TTTGTAAGTCACCAAATTATGTTTTGGTGACCTCTGCTATCATTTAAATAACCCACATATGAATTACGATGAGCTTCTGCAGCAAGCAGTTGGACTAAGTTTGCTCCCTTGTCATTCTCTCTTTAGATCTTGTAAACCCCTTTCATTCTTTTTTCAGCTACATGAGTGTGTGTGTGTGTGTGTGTGTGTGTGTGTATACACTGTGGTTCTTATCTATATAATATAGCTTCTTTTGTTGGCTTGTTTAATTTCAAGAAATTATGAAAATGAGGTTCTATTTCTAAACCCCTGCATAGATGACTTTTATACTATATATGCTTTTTAGGAGTTTTGAGTTTTGAACTATATGTTTATTCAACTTTAAACATACCTAGCATCTTGTTGAACTTATTTACTGATTACTTTACAGTACTCTTCATACTTATTTCTGGTTTAAATATGTGGGATTGTTTTAGTCTTGTTATGTTTTTTTCTTCTGCTTAAAGATGTATATATTACTCAAATATAAAAGTGACTTAGGAAAGAACATCTGAAAGTTTATTTAGAAATTCACCAAGCTACATACTAATGCTTCTGTAATGGGGACATTTCTTTTCACACCTCTAAGGTGATTGAGCCTGTCCTTTAAAGTGAGATTTGCAAACTAGTGTCTGGCAGCTCCAATTAGCTTCTTTTTGGTTTGAAGCATATCACAAACAGTAACAAGGTCTCCTAGGACACTCCTCTTGCAAGCAATGTAGTCATATTTCCTCATTAGTTCTTTTCAATTGTCACTAATGCCATGTTCCAGCTTTTGAGTAGGAGACAAAAAACATAAAAATTTGGTATGTATGTAGAATGCGCCATTGTTTTCCATAATTCAGGGCTCTTTTGAATTTCTTTGATAGTTCTGAAGCTTACACAGCTTAATTCATTAACCTTTACCCTTCATATAAATCAGGTGATTAGGAATCTACTGCTAAGGAGACAGATTTTTCTCTCCACTGAAACTAAATAATGCCTTCTCTGCTTTAAAAAAAAAAAATCTTATATAGTTCAGAAAAGTAACCTTTATGTTACTTTTCAAATTCGTCAAATGTTTCAGGTGCATTTTTTTAAGAACATTATCAAAAGCAAGTGAGCATAAAATTACATTATTATCAAAAATAATTATGAATGCTTTGAATACTTTGGAGCAGGTTTTCTGGAACTTTTTTGTATTTTAAACAAGTTTTTCTATATGTACTCAACAGCCGTTACGCAAGAATTTACAATGATAGCAATTTTTAAAAAATTATCCTCAGACTGCTGCCAAAACATAAAAGCAAGAAAATAATCCAAAAAGAGGCAATTCAGAATAGACTAAAAGAGTATTTAAATGTACCTAGGACGTTTGTTTTGGAGAAATGTTTTATATGAACCCTCATTTTAGAGAGAACAATGATATAAGATCTAAAAAAAAAAAAAATAGATGGTTGGTGTATGTTTCCTTATAGGTGAGACTAGAATGTTTGTCTTTTCCTATTTCCTTTTGTGAAAGATACAGCTTTTATTTCTCAGAATTTGGGAAGATGGTTTAATAGGCTTAGTTGTGCTTGAGGTATATGAGCTAATTTAACAATATTTGGTATTCTTTGGCCTTTTTCCACTATGCCTTTTTCCCATATTATGAATTTCTCCTTAATAAATCTACAGATTGTTATGTTCCCTAAGAATACAGTTTTTTTTTTCTCTGAGTTTTATAATGTCTTATGTTATCATGTGTGAAATGTGAAACCTTTGAATGTACTAATCTATATAGAATGCTGGTCATATGTTATTCTGAGGTTTGTCTTCAAGAATGATGAGGATGGAGGGAGGGAGAAAAGGGAAAATTTTGAGTGCTAGAAACTGAGTTTAGGGGTTCAATAGCTTGTTTGTACAGACCAATCTGTATTTTATCACTGAGATTATTAAATATTCTCTTATGATATCATGAGTAGGAAAGGGACTGGAAAAGCAAAGACTTTAAATATAGTCTTTGGTTCTATTACTCCTCACTTAAAGATTATTGCTTTGCAAACATTTTTACCTTTATTATTGCCATTTTTTAAAATGCCCCATTAGTATGAATGTGTTACAGCAAGTTTTGTATGTTCAATAAAAAAATGTGGGGAAAAATAAAACAAGTAACAAAATAAAAGCAAAAACAACAACAAAATGTCCTTTAAAATTTACATAAACACGTGACATCAAAAAATTACTCTGGTTTTACCACTGTTTCCTGCATACATACTACATAGCAAACTGGTGATTGCTTTGATGTTAATGGCTAGAGCAAAAGTAAACGTGGTTCGTAGGATTGTTTTATAGTAGGGTACTTCCTGTAAATATATTCTGGAATGGATTGTAAAAGTTGCAAGACAAAAGGACAGTAACCACCCATGGTCTCTCATCATGACCTGTTATCCCCACATGCTGCCTTTTGATACTAGCCAGGAACGTTCAGTGGTGTTCCATTTCTGTCAATTTGCAATAACAGGAAAACACAAACCACTTCTATTTTCAACTCTCAAAACAATAGCTATTTTTATTTATTTGCTATTTATGCCAGCCATTCAATTTTATATTTTAATATTATATTGTGTTTCAGCCCAGATTCACAGAACTTAGAGTTTCCCTCCTCAAATATCATTTCCATGAATGATCTACAATTAAATTCTGCTACAAATCCTCCAAGAAATAGTTTTGTTTCTCTGTAAATTTTTATTCCAGGAATAGCCCAATGTTATGCATAACTTATAGCACATAGACTGTGCTTACAGGGCAATTAAACATATTTGGAAATCCTTGTATAACTGAACATTCAAGAACCAAGCAAAAATTCTAGGTGATCCTTTGTAAAAGCAAAGCACTCTCCTCTTACTACACCTTAGTCACGTGATAATTCTTGGTATTACATCTTGAGTAAGCCACATAATTGTTTGCTATCTACTCATAATCATGTACACTTCCTGAACCTTTCTCTCATATAGAGGGGAAACCTGATTGTTATGGCCTTTTATCAGTTTTGGAGCAATCTTCATCCAGTGATTGATAATCTTCTTTTATATAAGTATTGGTTCTCATATGAATCAGTCAGCATTTGATTTTTCTTATACAGTAAAACTGTATTTACTGCTTGTCATCTTCTCTGTTTATCTCCAATGTTCATATGTACTGTAGCATATCTAATATCAAATCAAGTAGAAAGGATACAAATAGATGTTGCATTTGTTTAGAATTTTTCCATAATCAAACATAAAATCAGACATTTGAACTATTTGAATAAACATGAGAACGAAGTATCATTTGTCATTTTGGGTGGTCCTCACAAACTATTAGATCTACTATTTTTTTTTTTTTTGGTAAGTTACAAGGAGGACAGTGAGATATATATCTATGATATTACAGAAAATGGTAAGGTATTTTTAACTACTTAAGATTTTGCAATCATGTGGGGCCTTTCTTTTTATTCTTAGCATGTGAAATTGTTTTTGTTTTGTTTTTGGTTGCATTTTAAAAGTGCTTATGGCCCATAATGTTTTGTTTCCGTTTCCAGTCTTTCTTTTAAATGCATTTATTAAAATGATACATTAAAGCCAAATGACATGGAATTAGGTTTGAAAATTTCTTCTCACAATAATCTGTATCAATCATAATTGCCTTGTATTGCTGTTTTAAGTTTTCTGATATGGTCATGGAAAAGCTTGTCCATTTTTATCATAAATCTTTTTTTAAAGTAACCAAAAATAGAATGTTTATCATTCCATTAAGACAAAATTCTATAAAAATATTTTGAAAGAAAAATACGTCTTCTCTGTAACTAATTTAACCTTCAGTAATGAATTCTGTGGAGAAAAATTGTGCAAAATTTCCTGACATTTTATGAAGATACCTACAAATAAGCCAGACAACAAATAAAATATCTGCAAGACAGAGATGGATACATGAGTAATTTTTGATGGATTATACACAGAGGTATCAAATCACTTGATCCTTGCTTCCTAGAAAAGGTTAATGACTCTTTTTGCTTTTACCCTTTTACTTAACAGTTATTTATAAAGATTAAAACAGGAACTGCATTGGAGAGTGCATATACCTGTGTGTCAGTATGACTGTACAGGTTTTTCTAATATTATGAAGAACTGAACCTCAAAATGGATAGTATTAATCACTTTTTCATTCATTCAGTTCTGATTATCTTATTATCTGCTAGGGCTATTAGAGCAAAGTGCACCATTCAAAAACCTTTTAATGAAAACCAGAAAAGATTTTAAATCTTACATGTTTATTTATTATTAAAATGCCCTAAACCTACATACTGGTTTATTTAAAATAGTGAAAATAAAAGATTTTAAGGTAAAAGTTTAAAGTTTTTATGTGCAAAGATATTTCATCTTTAATCTACCGTATGTGTGTGTGTGGGGGGGGTGGTGGTGCTGGAGATCAAACCTAGGGCTATTTGCTATGCATACCCAGCCCTATATTTAATTTTAAAAAGTTTCAGATTTTTAATACATGTTTGCCTATATTGAATAAAATTTTACAAAAATGTATATTTTTAATGTTATCAAACTTCAACATTAATAATTGAACAATGAATAATATTGCTGTCCATCTGTAATGACCATCCACTTACATTCTGCAGTTTCATTATAATTAGTTTATTATATAAATGGTGTATCTTAATTACATAGCATATGCTTTCTAGTCTTTTATAACCAAATATAACCTTATAGAAATATCTCTTTTTCATCTCTTTGTCTTTACAAAATGCACTGGTCATAAATATATTTAATTAAAGTCATTTAGGAATTAGAGCATTTAAGTTTAAAGCAGGGAATGTAATACCTTTCCTGAAACACCTTGAAAGAGGTTTGTTGAAGAAGAGAGAGGTGGTATTCATCAAATGCTGACCTCTTCCTCTTATATTTGTGTCAAACCCCTGCTAATTTAACTTGAAAAGCATTGATATAACTCACCACTTTTTTATGTTTCAGGTGTGTGGAGGTCATTGCAAAGGAAGGACAAAACCTGAAAGAGCTGTATTTGGTGTCCTGTAAAATCACAGATTATGGTATGTAATGAGCCACTGCCTAATTCTTTTCAAGAATAAAAAGTAACAAAACTGTTGAAATTTTTTTTAAAGAAATCAAGAATTATCTTGTAGAAATTACTTGTTTGCTTATGCTAATGAGACCCAAAACAAAATAAAACATCAAAAAATCATGAGCTTATAGCCAGGTAAATGAATGCACATATCAGTTCATTGTCAAATGCAATAATACACACCCCACACACAAAAACACACTATACATATACACATGGGATTAAAAAGTATGATTGAAAGAACTAGGAAGTAAAAATAAATTTTAGGAAAATTAAATGTTTAATATTATGAATTTAAGAGAGGAAATTATTATATTGAGTTTTTATTGTTTACTTTAATATCATGTCAAATGCACTGCTACTGACATTCTGAATGCCAATGTTCTTAATGCTTTAAATTCTTCAAAGCATTAGAAACGTCTGTATTTAGATATATTGGAAGTAAAAGGTATACATTTGTATGCAACATTTTGAATTGTCTTACTTTTCAATATCCTTTTAAAGTGGAGAAAAGCAAGCTATAAAATATGAAAAATATTGTCACATTGTCATAGTAATAAAGAAAAATAACATCCCTTCCTTTTTTATTTAGCTTTATGTACATTTTGTTATGCAATTTGTGTATTTGACCTGAATATGGAGTTCTAACTGGATAGTTGGCAGACAGAAATGGTTTCCTTTTAGGTTTTTATTTGTTCATTTAAATTTGATAATATGGTGAAAATGGTTTCTACCTTGAGGGAAATTAACAATCCATTACTTTTTTTATTCTTAACTTTGGCATATGCTGATGACTTTTAATCACAGGAGATTTGTATTTCACCAGCTACCAAATTCATCATTTAGAAAAACTACTAAAGTTATACTAAAGTTATTATAAAGTTACAATAAAGTTGTAAAGTACTTGTCTAGAATATTTCAGGGCATGGAAATATAGCTCAGTGGTAGGATATTTGTCTAGAATGTGTGAGGCCCTGGATTGGATCTCCAGCTACATACACACACACACTTGCTCACACACACACAGATTCAAATTGAAAATATCTCTAATTTATGTTCAGAGTTTAATCTTTGAGAATTATAAATGTGTCTTTTGTGGATTTATCTATAATGTTTCTGTGTTGTTGAGTTTTCCCTAATTCTACCTTGCAAAGATGTGGGGTTTTTTTTAAATTTAATTTTTAGTTATAGTAGGTCAGAATTCCTTTACTTTATTTATTTTTATGTGGTGCTGAGGATCAAACTCAGGGCCTCACATGTTCTAGGCAAGCACTGTTCCACTGAGTCACAACCCCAGCCCTGTTGCAAAGATGTTTTGACGTGTTCTTTTTCCTCATAGTTTACTGGTTTGACATATTTAAATTGCCTTTTAGATATAGTAACTCTATAAAACCTCCTGTATCTCTTATTGTCTAGTTCCTGGAGCATACTCCCTGTGTAATATGGAGCATATTGAAAATAACTATGCACACGTAGATTTGTTGATGACTGTACATTGATTCATTCCAAACTCTTGGCATTCAAGGACCTTTATGACCAGTCTCATCAGTCTCCTAACTGTTTCTTCAGTCCTACTGTGTATTTCTTCCCTTTACTTGTTCTTACTTGTTCACTGTTGTCAGTTGTCAGATTGCTAATTGCTGAAAGGTAGGATTTAAGCTATCCCTTAAAATGAACTCCTGAATTTCTTCAGTGGAAATGTCACTAAAATTACACTTCGTTTTGGAGGCATAGAAATATTTTGTCTCCTAACAAAGCTAGTGCCCAGGACTTACATGTTAATTGGCAAGTTCCAAAAAAAAAAAGAAAAAAGAAAGAAAGAAAGAAAAGGAAGAAAGTTCCAGAGCTTTGGACTTAAGGCAGATCTAGGATTAAGTTTTGTGTTTGTTCTTTTTCTATTCTTTGGCCTTAGGGAAGTTCCTCACATATCTGAGGTTTAGTTTCTTCACTTGTAAAAGAGAGAATTAACGCTTCCATGTGTACCCAGCCTATTCCAGTGAGCAACATAGAGAATACTGCTAGTAAATGTTGCCTTCCTACAGGAAGAAGGATGAGGCAAGATTTACTCAGTATATTTCTACTCCTTTCCTTTCCTAGGTCCTGGAAGAAATTTTTGTTTTAGTTGTTATTACTGTTGCTACTGTTTTGTGATATTCTCATGTTCTGGTTTTTGAGATAGTTAAGATATTTTTTTTTTCTGCTGGTGTGTTTAAAATATGTTAAAACCTTAGAGGCTGGGATTGCAGCTCAGTGGTTAGAGTACTTGTCTAGCACACATAAAAATCCTCAGCACCACATAAGATAAATAAAGGAATTATGTCCATCTACAACTAAAAACAATATGTATATAAAATAAAATGTTAAAAACTTGCTAATATGGTTAACCCTTATTTGTATCTCTGAATTATTTAGGTCAGTGGTTCTCAGTCTTATCTGAACATTAGAACACCTGGGGAGTTTCTAAAGCATATGAGCATGCAAACCTTACCTAAGACTAATTTAAGCAGAATTTCTATGTGATGGGGCTCAGGAAGTGATTTTGTTTGTGATGACAATGTCAAAATTGAGAGCAACTGAGTATATTGGGGAGGAATCAGAAGAGAACATTTTGGAGAAGCCCTCCCATTGTGATAAGAAATCAATAGTGATTTTGCTTGAATCTCAATCCCTCCAGCTTCAAGTTTTCTGCCCCACCTCCTCTCCTTTCCTTCTTTCCATGAGTTTGATGTATTTAAAGCATTTATGATGAAAGTCTTTGTCTGTGTTGATTCTATTCTCAAAAATGTCAGGGCAAAATTGAGGAAGAGAAGAAAGAAAGATTAATAGTTTATAAGATTTACTATAATTGCTATTTGGTTATAAAATACAGACAGATTACTGGAACCTCAGCTAATCTTTTTCCCTAGTACAATGCCTATAACTTATGAGTATTTTTGTCAAAAAGACAAAAAAATATACTTCTTTATATCCAGAGAAATAGCATGTTTTGGGAGGTAACTGCTCTGTTAGGGAGGCTTTCTATGCTCCCTTGCCTTATTTTAATTATAAATTCTAAGACAGGAAAAAAAAAAAAAAGGATGTCTTTGCCTTCTTAACTGGGTAAGTAGAAACATAGTCTCTAGAACTTCTTGATGATTGAAGCTACTTTGAAATTTTCAAATTTGATATACACCTGATACTGAGAGAATTTAATCTTTCAAGAAACTGCTCTGTGTTTCTGCTTCCTATTGCTGTACTCATATTCATATTGGTCATTTTCATGCCTCCTTTCCTCCTCTTCTTGTGGGAACAGGTTGGTTTATGTTTTCATTATCATATATTGACAATTTTGAGGATTTTGTGCAGGATGCATTGATTCAGAGACAGCAGCTCACCTGGCATATCATTTGTAATTTTTGTCAAGATTATCACAGGTGTTGAATGTAGTATTATTGTACTTAGCAGCACCTGGCCAGGTTGTTAGGAAGTTATGTTCATTTTAATTGATATATGATACAGTTGTCATGAAGAAAGCTATCAGACTAATAGGTTTCTAACTTCCCAAATTGAACATAGATCTTTATGGTAAAGGATAGCAATTATAAACAAATAAATAATTTAGGCATAGCTAAATGGAAAATACAGTCTTGGAAAATTGCTCCCTGAAGAGAAATCTAATATTGTCACTCTTCTATCACTGAACAAATGTATATCATAGGCATAATTATGGAAAGGAACTAAAAAATAGGAGTCAGACACTAGCTTACAATTGTAGTTTTACCTCTTCTTTATTTTGTACCCTACAACAAGTTACTTAAACTCCTAATTTTGTCATCTATTTACCCACATGATATATAACATATAAGGTAGAAAGGAATATGAAACACTCACTCCTCTAGTGCCTGGGGGCAAAGTGGCCACTTACTAATTGGCAGTTCTTATAATAGTAAAATATTCCCCTCCCCACTCACTCATGATCAGCCTTTCACCTCCTCAGATGCTGCTTTTCTGTTTGTGGAAATTATATTTTAGAAGTCTGACCTATTTAGTCTATAGCTGCCTAATTGACTTCCAGACCTAAGCTATCAAAGAAGAAAGATACAACAAAAATTAATTATCTCCTCAACATGTTTTATTTTTAATTTTCTATCTCTTCTTTGTAATACTTTTGGACAATTGTATCTTGGCTCCTCTAATGCTTTTCTATATTCCTAGAATAAATTGCCAGCTAATAATTTCCAGTCTACCTTTTGGCACTCCTCTGCCCTTAGAAAAATGTATCTTTGCTTTTAAGAAGGAAACAGGAATAGAAATCAACCTGTATTACTCAAGTTTATGGAGGTCAGAATTGGTCTTTCTCTTGGGTTGCATGCCACCTCATATGGTGTAATAAATGGGATGGATGTATAAAGCACTTACCTCTAATAGTGTCTCCATAGTAAATTTTACCACTGTGACCCTGGTGTCAGAGGGCAGTTGTAAAAAGGACCCAGGTTACTTCTGAGTTGTTAGCACATTTCTTTTGATTTTAGCACTCCTGAGGGCCCTTAGAAATACACTCTAGAGATTTTTTGTTTTGTTTTGTTTCTCAAATGGTTAACTTTTAATTTAAAAAGATTATAAACAGTGAACTATTAATGTTGTTTGGAGGCCTACACGATTACTGACAACCCAGAGGCTTACTCTACCTCACTCCATGTGCTCCTTTTACCTCCAGGGGGCCTTGGAGTGCTCTTTCTGGTCCTGATTTTAGCTTCCCAGTATTGTTCTTGGCCACAGTGTGTGTCTGTCCAATCTGGGATTTTTTAACATAACAGCAAGACTTGCCACAAGATTTTTGGATCACTCTGGACAAAAGATCTCCCAAGTCAAGGAGGTCATTATGTCCGCGGTTATCAATGAAGATGTCATTTAAGTTGATCTACCAATCTCAGACATGATATATATTCATTCTGTCCAGAAAAAAAAAAAAATACTGATTCAGTACCT